ATAATCTTATCAACTTTGTGGTGGACCTAATCAGCGCACACCCAAGTGTATTTGATCCCTTTGTCCTTCACTTGATTCACATATACATGTGAACAAGGAATTAGACTTAATTTCCCAAATATATACAAAAGTTCTCATGATCATACAATACAAGTTGCATGATTCCAAGTTTCTATCCAACTGAAACTTGGGTGATGAGAATCTTTCCTTATTTGGTAAATTATGACACTTCGACTAATGAAAGAATAAAATCCATTTACCCATATTGCTTATCAATGGAAACATATAACCAACAATTTTTCACAAATTCCATTGTAAGGATACTTAAAATAAATAAAATCAAAACCATTTTTCTTTTAATTTAAAACTTTGCGGAAAAATTTATCCTTACAATCCATATGGAAAACTTGTTGTTATTTATTCCTAAGCAATATATCATAACTCTTAAGTAACAACTCAAAATTCTGATCACCGAACCATGCGATCGAAATCCATCTTCGCGATCAGAATCAGCATATACTTCCTTTAAGTTTCTTCACCTTTTCTTTGATTCTTAAAACAACAACATATGACCTCGTCACATTATGCAATAAGAATCTTAGAATAGAAACTTGATAGAGTTAGACAATGGACTTTACCTGGAGTAGAGTCAAACCTATTGACTTTACCATCCTTAAGATGTTTCAGGTAAATTTAGCAGTTTCGCAACCAATGTCTTTCCTTTGGCAACAGAATCATATGGACTCTTTGGAAATGGTACATGGGACTATCACAGACTTAACCTTTCTCTTTACCATTTGGTCAACCGAGTTGACTATGGCCGATCCCTTGCCATTGGGAAGAGAAAGTTTTTTCTGGGCCTCCAATGTCACCATTTTCAATGTCGAAATAGGTTTGGAAAGTAGATCTTCCAATCCAATTTACTTTACTAATGCTCCAAATCATTGTTGATTTAGCATCATCAAGCAAATAGGTAAGATCATTAAGGGTCTTGTCACGACCTGTCATCAGGGAGTGACTGAAGAACCAAGTCAGCAGCCAGCTACCTCGAGACTTCGACACCCGACTCTCCCAACTTGTCAATATGTGGCTTAATCCCCAAGATCTAAGCACATATGGACTTTGCTTGCCAATAGGGATTGAGTGACTTAGAACTTATCAAGTCTTAAAACTTGTGCGATAGGGAGATTTATTGGAAGAGGTGGATGAAGTGAAGTATGATTTCTAGTCCCACAAATGCCTAACAAAGGGATTGATCTTTCACCTTGATTCCCATTTGGGATATCATCTTCATTAGGAAGCTTGTTCCTAAAGATTTGGGAAGACCATAGTTGTCTAAACTAGACATCTATAATGGGATAAATTCAAGTTAGTTGATTTAAAGTCCTTAATATAACACCCAATATGAAATATTAAGGCTAGGATCCAACAACCTATTTATAACTGGAAGATGGATGCCGTAATCCGAGTTATAAAATAGTTGAAGGTAGGTAAATGACGATTTACCAATTTCCACCATGAAAAACGAAATATTTTATTATTAGGTTTTATTGGTTTTGAAACTCCTAGATCTTTTGAGATACATTGAACTTTCAATGGCATGTTTGAATCTCGATGGTGCCCTCTTAAGTTTGTGACTGGGATGCCGAGGATCACAAACAAGGTGTGAATAACCATACAAATTCACTTAGTACCCTCAACAATATTACTTAATCGATGTGCCGGTTAACCACACACGCTCCACCGATCTATAATAAAGTCAAGTTACCCTTTTCCACTCTTACTAGTCCATGTTAGTGTGCCGGTTAACAACACACGCTCCACTAACGACTTGGTAAGGTACAAAGTGTAATTTTATGGGCTAGCACCTTTTTACATTTTCCTAAGTAACTAAGATTGGGAATTTATAAGTGTTTAGTTACTTAATATTTTTCATTATACTTTTAATAAAGGGAGAATTATAGTCCATTCCTACGCGTTCGGCTAACGACCCTCCACCAGTCAAGGAAGCGGTGGGTGAGAGTGGACACCCATTAAACTGCCATTTTATAGGCAGTAACCTTATACCCCCCTTATAGACCGGCTTCGTGAATGAGGGCTACTAACGGTAAGATTGACTTCCTCTTATACATATCTATATAATTAAAATTATAATAATAGTATAAGGGTTGAATTTTAAACCATTTAAAATTTCAATGTTCAATTTGGAATTAAAGTATACATTAGGAGTAACTTTTCAAATTCCAAAACTTGAGGGCAAGTTTTGAAACTATTTCAAGAATCTTTAAATCATAACTTATGAGTTTAATGGTTCATTAAAACGAAGACTCTTCATTTTAATGTAACCCCTTATTCTTTAAAAACACTTTAAAGAAGTGTCTCTTCAACATCCATAACTTGAGGACAATTTATGGAGTCATTAAACTATTTAATGGAAAAAACTCTTACATTTTATGTAACCTATAAGACTTTTATGAGTTTTTATGGTTCATAAATATGACTTTTCACATAACTTGAAGACAAGTTACAAAAACATATTTTATGAACTTCTTTTAGACTAATATGGATTGAAAACAACTAAAACATAATTTTTTCATTATCAATCTAAACTAACTCATAAATCAAGGAAACATAAAATTCTTGAAAATTCATAACTTGAGGACAAGTTATGAACTCCATACAATTTTCAACAAGATCACGAATTATATCACCAAACAATTTGCACACAATTCCTATGATCTAGCAAAACTCATAAGCATGATTATTCATAATCAACAATTTTCAAGAATAACATGAACACATATAAAGTTGAAACTTTTATTATAGCATTAAAATTGGCTTAACATAATCATTACCACATTCAAAACAAGTTTTATAAGCCCAAAACAGTCAAAGGTAATGATTCTAGACCAATTCCAGCACCAAAACTCGAAAATATGCTGTCTGGGGGTCCAACTCATCAAGTGCACGAACAAACTCGGTGAGTTGGATGCATTTTGCCTTGGACTCGTCGAGTCCCTTCATGGACTCGGCGAGTCTGCTGGGCAGACAGCACCAAAAGTCAATTTTTAAGAAGTTTAAGTAAGTACAACAAGAAAACAAGCCTAGTCTCTGATACCACTGTTGGGTTTTGAGCAATCTAACACTCCTAAGTGTACATGCAACCCTAACTACCTTGGATCTATGTTTTCTCTATTATACATGCAAATATCAACATTCCAAGGTATTGTTCTATTGTACCATACAACACTTTGAATAACACAAGTTAGAATCACATACCTTTTGTTAGTGCTTGTCTTCATGGAGCTTGAGTGCCTAGTGCCCCAAGTGTGACACCTCAAATGGTTCACACAACACCATAAGCACTTGGAAAAACTTAGAGAGAAATTAGAACACTTCAAGAATCGTCTTGCCCTCCATGCATATCTCGTAGCCAATTTATCACATCAATAAGATTCTTATATAGTTGTTACAATTAGGGTAAACCCTAATTGTCATGGCTTTCCATTTCCTTGGATCCATGGGTTCAAATACACCATGGACCATCCATGGAGCATCCAATGCGTTTGAGCCCAACTTGATAATCCATGGAGCATTAGCCCACTATATAAGTATGGATGATTTACACAATCAACCCATATATTTAATTAGTCTTCTTTTGATCACTTAATTAATTCTAAATCAATTATTGATCAATACTAATTAAATAATCTTATTAATATATTAGAACTTATAATATATTAATAAACCTTAAGTATTATTTCTCTCATTTTAGTTTATCCAAGTGCATGATGCCATGCAACCCAAATGGACCATGCCGGGTCGGGTCAAGTCTTACCAATTATAGTTATGGACTTAGACATTAATCCAACAATATAAAGGGTTGAATGGGTTATTTGTCATTTACCAGTCTCAATTCTCTCAAAGTAAACAACAAGTAAACATTGTTCATCTTCTTCTTCATTCATCAATGGCGACTTCTTCATCTGCACATGATCAGACCGCATCATCTTCTTTGCTCACCATAAAACCTAACCAAAACATGATCATTGAACTTACTCCGGTTTTATATGATCCATACATGTTACAGGTTGTGGAATGCTTAAAATATTCCCCCTGGTTTTATCCCTAACCCAGGTTGAAGCCGTTCCAATGTCGCTCTTATCACAAGTTTATTCTTCGGCGACATATAACAAGAACAAGGATCGCATCTACTTCACCATCCACAACAAGAAATCTTCAATTTCAAAAGTGAAGTTTTGTTCACTCCTGGGCCTTGCAGTCGATTCCTCCATCATCTCACCAGATTTCATCACGACGTCCCAACTGTTCTCCATGATGTACGAAATAGGGTACACGGATATGCTTACAATGATAACAAAGGTGAAGAAATCATGTTTACCATCCCAATTGAATGGTTTATTAACCCTGTTAATTAAGGGTTTGGCCGAAAGAAGTGGTGGTTCCGATACCACCAGCAAGGGGTTTCTTACTCTTCTTTATGGGCTCTACAATGGGATCAATCTCGACTACGGCTCCATCATCTGGTCTCAAGTGGTGCAGAGTCTAAACACTTCGACACGCCATTTAGAAATCTCTTGTGGCCATTTTTCGACTTTGATTACCAAGAAGGCTATCGATTCATTGGAGATTCTAATCATGAAGGATGCTCTTCTTGCTACAATCGCAACCTTCCATACGAATAAAATTATTATTTCAGATCCAAGTAAGTTTCTTCACTATGGAATGATTCCTTAAACAATGTATAGATGTGTTTTAGAACAGAGCAATGTCCTGGCCGATTATAGAAAACTACCTCCTCTTGGACCGAGGGTTCTAACTCCAGAGCAGCAAGCTGCCCTAGACGCATTGGAGAAACCAATCAACCGAGGCAAGAAACCTACAAAGAAAGAGGAACCTGAGTAACCAAAGGCCAAGTCCTCTAAGCGAAAATCCGATGAAGGGGCTCTTCTAAACCACAAAAGAAGAAGATAAAGAAGATGGCTCGTAGGCCAAGACAACGCACTTCTCCAAGAACAGAACCTGATGCTGAAAAACCTGAGGAAGAGGAAGTGCATCATGACTCACCCCGAGAGCTCACTCCTCCACGCTCCCCAACTCCAGCAAAATCTCCACAACAAACAACACTTCCAACTCCTCCTCCATCACCAAAACAGAAAGTTGACCTTTCTGCTCCTGCTGTTACTCCACCAGTTTTCACAAAACCTATGCCACATTCATCACCGAGTGCTTTTGTTCCTATCTCAACTATACCATTATCAACTCCACTTGTAACCGAATCTACCACAACTACCATTCCCAAACCCACAGTAGAAGTCAATGTATCTGATACAGGGGCTACTACTGTGACTGAACCTCCAGTCATCAACTTACCACCTTCACCAACCCAATCCTCCGATTCTGCAGCCACTCTTGGGGGAGATGATCAAGATTTTGATTCTACCTACTACAACCCTTATCGAATTCCATCTGAAGATACAGCTGATGCTTCTGTTACAAGTCAGCAGATCCACGACATTCATGAAAAGCTAGATAAACTGCTTGCTGATAGCAAAGCTTATGGTGGAGTGGTTATTAAAGCTTTTCTATAGATGGCTCTTCAACAGTACATGGATGCCATTGATAAATCTACAGCGGATGTGGATGAGTCTACTTCTACTTGTCAGAAGGCCACCAAGGAACTTTCTGAGGTTGTTCATACAACTCAGATTTTCCTTGACTCTTTAAAATCTCATGCTGACACCAATGCATCAAAATATCAAGCTTCAGTGGATTCCTTCTCCAAGCCTCTTCGTGAAGAAACTGACAAATTTCAAATTGTTCGTACTGAGCTTCAAATAGAAACCACCTCCTTCTTACACTCTGTGGACTCTCGGTTTGATGCTCTAACTACAAATCTAGCAACTGAGAGTGCCCTGAAAGAGGATCTAGTCAAACAGCAGGCCACTATTGACATACAGAAGGTGCAGCTCGCCCAGGCAGAGAAGGAAATCTATCTATTAGAAACTCAAAGGGCGGTGTACAAAAGTTGTGCAGGAGATGTTAAGGATATGCTGACCAACTTGCTGGAAGCTCATGATCCTATCCTAACCTTGACAATTCGAAAACATCTTCAATCCAAACACCTACCTGCCATTTCCATACTTAGCGAGATGAAGAGTGTTTCGGAGGGGTTCATAGCTCCAAAACAAGGGGGAGAGGGTGGTGCACAACAGGTCAAAACAGAACCGAAGGTTAATTTAGCTTCGGTTTCTGAGCAAAAACTGAAACAGAAAGAGATTCATATTTAAACTGATAGTGATACAGAAGAAAAAACTATTGTAGATGCTCTCAAGAGGAAGAAGAGAGACAGAGAGTTGGATGAAACCATGAAAGTGGCTAGAGAGGCTGAAGAAAGAGAGAAGAAGAATAAGGAAGTCAAAGAGGCCTTGCAGTGTAAGAAGTCTCTTTTTCCAGAATGGGATAGAGATACACTTATCAATCAGGCGATTGAGTTTCCATGTGTCTATTGGTTGGAACCAGTTGCTTCGTTTGACTGTGAAAACTCTAGAGACTCGTAGTTTGACATGCCCATAACCAGAAAAGCATTCATTTTCCATTGCTTTGAGGCAACTGCTAAGGTCCCATATCCACATTCTAAGGTTGACAGAGAGCTGATAGATTTTTATTTGAAGAATGGTCAACCGCAGTACTTGACATGGAGCGCACAGAAAGTTACTAAAGTCAAGGTATTGAAACCTTTATCTACAGGGAGATTCATCAATTTCAATTTCAAGATCAACCGTGGTTCAGCAAACACGGAGTCTTTTATCTCTCTGGCAGATCTTCCCAACCTTAATCCACACGATTGGATTCTGCTATACAACATTCTGCTCTCTAATCCCAGGGAGTAGGAGCCGATTCTTGAACACATTAAAAGAATGTTGGCCTACTATATTCATGAGCTAGCAACCATGGATCAGAAGATAGCTAAGGTTATGAACAGAAAGCCTACTGTGAATCCGACGTCTAAGCCTAGTGATGTGAACAAAATGACATTGGGGCAAATTGATTCAACAAATTTGACAGTTATGTTCACTAAAGGTGATAGACACAAGTTTCTGTTCGCTTTGGTCAATAAGCATTTGTTTTCAACATATTTCTTGGAGAATATCATAAATATCATTCATCGATGCAAGCAGAACTCAGTGGATGACAAGAAGAAGTTCACAAACATGCTTCGGTGGTATATTACGTTTCGACATCATATTCTGGCCATTATACCGAGGGTGTTTAAAACCGTGAAGAAGCCTTCTGTTGTTAAGAGGGAATGAAGTTTCTGCTCCAAGGACTCAAAGGGGGAGATTGTTGAGTATATTTGTGTTGCGTCTTGCGCTAAGTGTTTTGTAATCCGGATTGGGCCTATCCATCCGTGTCTATCTAGATTAGTTATGTAGTTATCTAGATTGATTGCTAGAGTTATAGTATATATATATATATATATATATATATATATATATATATATATATATATATATATATATGCATGCATGTATGCGTATATTAATAAGTTTTCATTACGTTGATTTTTGTAACCCTAAACGCCTCTACAGATTGAAGTTCTTTATCAAGCTCTTCTGAGGTGTTATTTGCATTAATCATTGGACACATTCAGCGCAATACATGTGTTCTTATTATGTTCTTATTTTATATCTTGCTTATAATCATACGATCCTAAAAGAACTTTGTTCTTACAAGGTCATTACTGGGAAGTTTGTCCTTGGGGAGGCAGTTGCTCCCACAGAGCATGTTCAGGCAATGCACGCTACTGCGAAAGCGTTTATGGAGACATGCTTTTCCTCTTACCTCCGCCTGGGTGATCTCGACATGGCATGCCTTCGACAATTGTTTGATAACTCTGACACTGAGGATAGTCGGGCTAAAGGTGGCTCTTCTTACGTTGGTGCTTCCCTTGGTAAGTAATGGCTTTTATTTCCCCTTTGAATATTTCAAAACAATGTTTATGTTTTTTTGGTATTTAAAGAATGTTTCACTGTTTTTCTTTCACCCTGCGTGGTGTTTGTGCAAATTCCAGGGGGTTGGTTGGGTTGACAATTTATTTTGTGTATGTTAAATTCGCTTTCTTTTCGTCTGTTACATTATCGTTTTATGTTGTCCTTGTATTTGATGGTTCATGTTGCCCATCTTTGGCTTGAATTCTTCCTACAGGTTAGTGTTGCTCTTTTAGTCACGTTTTTTATTTGTTTTGACGAGTTTTGGTGATCCAGAGCATCTGATCCTTTTGTTTGTTCTTTGGCTCGTCCTCGTATTGTGAGGCTTTGGTTGGCTTTTAGGTGCGGGCCCTAGTTGGCGAACTTCGTTGGAACGTCCCTTCTTTAGCTAAAGGACTTTGTTTTGGTGTCATTTTATATGCCCAGGGCAAAGGAGAGTTGCATTCTTGCTCTTGTCATCGAAACCAGACCGAGATCGTCACCTCGAAGTCTAGAGTTTATATGTTTCAAGGGAAATGTTATGATCCTTTAAAGCCTCTTGCTTGTCATGGTTAGGAGTTGCGACTCTACTGACCTTGTTGACTAGTTTTTAGGGGGAAATTATAATCCTTTGAGGCTTACATTTGTGTGTTCCTCCATGATTTTATTGTTATGCGGCACGGGTGATTGAGTCGTTTTTTTTTGTCGTTTATATGGAAGTATATTGATACTTGTTCATTCTAAATTTTCATTGCACATATTTTTTTAATGTCTTGGAGACACCAACATCATTTAGGTAGGTATCGGGGGTTCGGTAACTGATGCTATTCTAATTCTAGCTCTTGTACTGGCTAGTTGGGGTGGGATTATCTAGTGAGAGTTTTATCACATATCCCCTTCTCATGATTCCTTCGATGCCAGGACCATGGGCTTGGGCGCCAGGGCTTCCAGGTCATCGGGATGATTTATTCTTCTTCTTGGTCCCTCCTGCTTTGTGCCTTTTCATGTGCTTACAAGTAATGTGATGTTTACGTTCACGTGAATGGCTGTTTCTAGGACAATCGTCCTTCGGAAGACGATTTTCAATCTCTTCCATTCTCTAATGTTGGTTTTTTGGTTAGTATCTTTGGGAGGTCTCGTGTCATCTAGTTTTTTTTATTGATTTTGATTTCATGGGGATTTGGACAAAGTGTCGTCCTGGGGAAAGTTTTGCTAATTACCAGCTCTTTCCATTGTTGGCAGCCTCCTATCCATATCTTCTTTTGCAGGGTGGTTCCATATCTTACTTCCCCGATTTTTCTGATCTCTTGGTTTTGTTTGTTGTGAGTCTTCTTCTTTGTACTTTTTGTCTTCACTTAGTGCTATCCAACCCTTCTTGGTCATCGTGCAATCGATACGTGTTTTATTTGGCGCAGTAATGTTATTGCTACCGCACCCTTCCCCCCGGTCTACATGTCCGGGGCTTGCGCTCATTCTTCTTAGCGGGGGTATAGGTGTGTTTCCTCTTGTCTTTTACCATTATGGGTGGGAGTGTCATGGTCCGACTTCTTTTTGGGATGTGCGTGGTGGCCTACACTGCTATTTCCTGGATTGGCTTTGCTCGTCTGTTAACGGATGTGACCATTGTTGAACCTTGGTAGTTTTGAACGTGTTGTGTATTGTCGATAGGATATCTTGTAATTGAAAAAGAGTCGGGCGCCTAAGGATTATATCGTTATCGGACCTTCTCTTGACTACCAAGAACTCGATTATCCTCGTTACTTGTTCCTTCCCATCGATGTTGGTTATACTAAACAGTAGCTTTATGGTGCCGAGTGGATACAACTTGTGTCTCGTGATTCCAACAAGTGGTGCCTAGGATGGGTGTTTCAGGTTCCTTGTTCAGCGTAGCGGGAGTTGCTTGAAATAGTGTTCGTAAAGAATATCGGTGTTGCTACCTCTGTCGACTAAGGCTCTCCCGGCCTTCTGTTGTATGACCGTGGTGGTGATTATAATTGGATATTTTGTGTCCCAATCAGGCATTTGTGGGTCCGATGGTGAGAAACTGATGTTTAGAGTAACTCCGGGTGGGATCTTATTGCCTTTAGCCTGTCGTTGGTACCTGTCGCGGTCCTTGGGTCTTGTTATTGTGAAGATCGCCTCTTTTTTATTTGTTTTTTGCTTACTTCCTTTGTGACATCCCCATTTTCACGGCCAGAAAAGACCGATTTTGTTTATGCTTTATAAAAATCAGAGTACTTCATTTTATAAAAAGGTTGCGGAATTTGTTCCCAGAAAAACACGATAAATACGTTATTAAAACATTTTCGAAGAAACGTATTTTTATTCATTTAAAACGTTTGGGATGTCATCGTTAATACAGAAACATAAGCATAAACAGAACTTACATGTATTTACACTAGTGATCTACATCTCTTTAAATCTCTCAGTGTAAAGTGACTTCGTATCAACACCTGTGATATAAATAAACTGAGTGGGTCAGGTTGGGAAACCTGGTGAGTACATAGGGTTTTCAACCCACAATAATATAATTATTATGTTCAATCAAAGAATCAACCCAATTACCCATCCCCGTTATCTTTTTTTTTTACTCTTTAAGGATTTATCCTAAGAGTCATCTATTCTTCATTCGTTTATTCCGAAGTCCCTTACTTCCAGGGTTCTAGGACTGGCACTAAATCCATAGCTGCCAATGTTCGTTCATAAAGCACTAATTCCATAGCTGCTATAGTCTATTCATCGGGTACTAAATCCATAGCTACCAGTCTTTATCTAATAGGTACTAAGTCCATAGCTACCAATGTTCAACAGGTACTAAATCCATAGCTACCAACGTCTAACATGTACTAAGTCCATAGCTACCGGTGTTTGTCCCATAGGCACTAAGTCTATAGTTGCGAATGTATACTCACATCATCTTCTATCTATCATCATTTATCTACCCATCATCATACCCAACATATTCGTATATATAAAATACGTATACAGTTTAAATCCTTTAAAACATATATAAAACGTTCATCCAGCATAGACAGCAAGTATTCAGATAATATGCACACATAGCACGTAGTTTATATAAAATACTTCATATCTATGTGTAAGATGAAAGAGACTATGCACTCACAACACGTAAATTATATAATAAATACTTCATATCTATGTGTAAGATGAAAGGGACCATGCACTCACAACACATAAATTATATAATAAATACTTCATATCTATGTGTAAGATGAAAGGGACCATGCACTCACAACACATAAATTATATAATAAATACTTCATATCTATGTGTAAGATGAAAGGGACCATGCACTCACAACACGTAAATTATATAATAAATACTTCATATCTATGTGTAAGATGAAAGGGACCATGCACTCACAACACGTAAATTATATAATAAATACTTCATATCTATGTGTAAGATGAAAGGGACCATGCACTCACAACACATAAATTATATAATAAATACTTCATATCTATGTGTAAGATGAAAGGGACCATGCACTCACCTGAGAAGGTGGTGACTCGGTACTCGGACAGCGCTTCGTTTACTTTAAAATAATTTCTTTCGACGAAACCTAGTATTATCACCAATAGATTTTAGTCTATTATTCGCCGAGACTAATTAATAGTCTAGCTATTATTACTATTATATAAGCGTTAAAAAAATACTTATATAACCCATAATAATAGCCCAAGTATTTATTATATGTTCTTAATAACGTTAATATAATTAAATAAAAACTATATTAAAAATAGCGTAGGCGTAGCTCACTTACAACGGGTTTTATAGAAAACCAGGCTTTGCTTGGAGCAGCGTTTCCGAGCCGAAAAGCTCTTTTCTCGGAGCCGTCGAGCACTCCGGGGCTTCCGCCTCGTGCTAGGGAGGTTCCCTAGGCTTTTCGGGGGATTTCGGGGCTAGAGAGAGGTTCTAGAGAGAGAGTAAAGAGAAGAAAGAATGGGAAAGGTGTGAAGAAAATGAGGGTGGGAGAGGTGGTATTTATAGGGTGAAAATGGCTGAACTTGGTGCCACATGTCACCATCTAGTGGCAAGACTTGGGGAGAAAGCAATGGCCAAGATTGTGCCACATCACCCATTTTCGCATAGCACACTTCCGACTTCTAAAATCCGTAACTTTCACATACGACCTCTGTTTTTGACGTTCTTTATATCCACGCGTAGGTAAAAATAATATCTACAACTTTCATTTTGACTCCGTCGGCTAATTCTCGACCGATCTTAAATTTAACAGTACGAGGCGTTTAGACTGTTAAATGACCGCGAAGAATTCGTAACTCCTTCATACCGACTCCGTTTTCGTCTGTATTTTTACCGTTGAGTTCCTATTAATGAGATCTTGAACTCTCATTTAGGTCACGTAAGCCAAAAACCGCTCGAACTAAAATTCGAGTTTCGGGTCGTGCACTGCTAAGCCGAATCTTAGAAAAATCATAACTTCCTCATACGAAGTCAGATTTGGGTGTTCTTTTTATCGACGCTCTTAGTTTAACATATTCTACGACTTTGGTTTAGATTGCTAAGGATAAATCTCGCTCTATCGTAAATTCACTATTTACGCTTCCCGGTGCCGTGCCGGTTTTGCCGTAAAACTTCGACGGGCCATAACTTCTTCGTTATAACTCGGATTTCGGCGTTCTTTATATGTACGGAAACCTTGTGACATATTCTACAATTTGGTTAAGATTATTTATTCTAAATAATCTTTTGTCGAAAAGTCATTTTCAACCCATATTGCCTCTAAATTGACTAGCCCGGATCTGCGGGCGTTACAATTATCTCCCCCTTAGGATGATTACGTCCCGGAATCATCAACGAAACAGGGCTCGTATATTGACTCCATACGTCATCTCTTCATCCTAGGTAATAATTATAACTTCTTTATTCATTCGAGTCTATCTTTTAGACTTATTGTCTGTAAGTAGTACTTAATTGTGCACCTGCTATCTTCTTCAGGTTAGACTCCAGATTACGACGTATCATCATGTGATGCTCGTTTAGACTTAGGTCTTTTAGAGTTAAATTCTGAAATAAACTATTCCTTCCTTCACGTTCTAATGTGATATAATCACACTTTAACATGTAGCATTTCTAGCTACCAACTTCTTTAGCGTCGAGCCGATACTTCTATTGGTCTCTTTGATTTTTAATCGTTTGGTTTAAGTCGGACGCTATATCAAACTTGGTTCTCTGAACCACGTAACCTACTCATCGTAGTCGGACTCAATGTGACATGACCACTAGGGTTGGGATAACAACAATCTTCTTAGTCATTACCGAAACAATGGTAACGGCATACTTGAATAAAACGAAATCAATTACTGGCTTCTTGGTAACCTTGTGACTTTCCCTGATCCAAGTGTGAGTCCTGTGCTTCCGGTAGTATAGGCCTCTACTACCATTCACACCTACTCATACTCGTCCCAAGTATTGTCCCGCAGTTTCCCAAGTCACCATGCAACAATTCATACAATCATTCAACACATCAGAT